TCGCTGAATAATTGTATAATTACTGTAGTCCACTGATATTTAATTGTAGGGTAACCACATTTTTGTATCAACTAATAGGTCAGTGACTATTTGATTTAAATGGGAAGTAAAATACTTTTAATAGCAAGCTACATGGTCGGATATGCAGCACGTTAGGTCAATATCAGAAATCTGGCACATTTAAAGCTTGATGCAGTTGCAGCTTTTCAGTCATTATTTGTAGTCTTGGTTATGTGTTGACAGGTAAACCACTGCCACCGGCTGTACATACTTTCCTATTAGTTGTGACTGGCAATGCGTAGAAAGCTGGGCAACCTCTAAAATGTTAGTGTTTTTTGTTGTGTCCAGTTTATAACTCTATTTCCTTCTGAGTTATTACAGCGCTAATCAGGAACAAGCAACACCCAGTGCAGTTTTAGACTGAATCAAGAACTGATCCCAGGTCATTCAAACTCAAACCAGACACGATGCACAAAATCAGTCTCGAGAGTTAACATTGCAAGAGAAAACCTCGCCCCAGGCTCTGTGCTCCTCCGCTCTAGGTTTTTATGGGTGAAGCCCATTGTGAAATGGAAATCTTCACCATTAGAAATACAAGCTTAAAATGACGCCAGTTTTGTTGTTTGCACAGACTTGTCAAGAGACTTGGCACGCTTCAGTTTGTGACCCGGACCAGTGTTCCTTCACTGGTTACACAGGGTGTATTCTGGCTAGCAGTCTACCTGACCACAGCCCGCCCCTGCTAGATTCACTTGTGGAGATATTTGGATATTTCTCACTTTGCTATAACATCTTTTGCTTTATCACACTTGTACGTTTCACTCTACTGTTCTTTGTAGCTCAAAAACATTAGCTGAAACCTCTGTAAAGATGAATTTGATTTCCACTGCTATCTCTCCACACTGTGCCAGGAATAGAAAATGCATGTCGGACACCTGTTGGATAAAATATTTATCCAACAAGCAAACCACTGTGCTTGTTGCTGAGAGAACAGCTATGGAGTAGTAGACAGCGGCTGAATGATGGTCACTTTATCATTGTAACATCTGTAATGAGGATTGTGTGTGTGTCTGTAAATCAGATGAGAACAGGGTGTGTGTGTGTAAATGAGGGCAGGGCAGGATTGTGTGTTTTTCTTTCTCCCGTTTGGTCACACAGGTGCTGGTAGCTTCCCGCTACCCTGCTCAAGTGATCATTATAATAATAATCCTTGCATTTGATATAGCGCTTTTCACGTCCCAAAGCGCTTCACAGAATATACTGTAAAGTGAATTGACTGTATATTTGTGGGCGAACGCGGCAGCCAATTGCGCACAGCAATGTCCCACAAACAGTCGTAGATTGAAAATGACCAATTTATTATTGTTTTTTGTTTTGGAGGGATTATTATTAGGCGTGTGGAGTAAGGAAACTTGCCCAAGGTTTCGCCCTGCCTGGAATTGAACTCAGGTCTCTCACTTGCAAAGCGAGTGTTCTAACCACTGAGCTACAAGACTCATTCTTCATCCGTGAGGTTCGGATCTGAGTGTCAACAGGCTGTGAGGCTATTGGAGCTTCACAGCTAAAACCAATCCTGTCCTTATCATGGGACACTGGATAGTGGTCCCTTTCCTGAGAATAATTGCAGGTACCTCAGCACTTTGCAAGATTCGAACCTGCAGCCTCCTGGTCGGTATAATCTATTATTGACTAGCTGTGGCACTAAGGCAGTGTGGGAGATGGTAGGAACACATTTTAAATTACTTTTGTATTATCTAGATGGTAGAAAGGTACTTCATGCTAAAAAAATCACTTTCCTGTTGCTTGTTTTTCCTATTAATCCTTCATAATAAGAAGCACACATAGAAATTCCTGCTAATCTACCTGATTATCTTGCAGGAAAACTGCAGGAATGACGCTACATGCGTTGATCCGCTTGAGTGAAAGTCATCAAGAACTATAGCTCATTAACAGAAGATGTCAGTGAGAAACGCCTAACCCACAAGTTAAACAATATGTATTGGACATAAGAACAGATGGAATCTAATCTCAGGATCCCAGTCACAAATGGGTCAAGCTTTGCTTGCTGCCACAGATGGTATTTGGAGCACTTGATTAGATTAAGTATAATATCCCCAACCAACTAACCATTGTTCGCTCCATAATCTCCAATGGCGACTGTAAATTGCAACAAGTATTGATTTTAAAATAAAACTGGCCCCTGTGTGAACGTTACCAACCACTTCAGAAGTGTGGGGAGTCAGAGCAAATGATACTACCAATGCACCAATGCCAACTGGGTTTAAAAGAATTGGGAGTAAAAGCTAAGGTGAGGGGGGGGTAACAAAGCATTGAGAAAGGATTTGTTCTCAAATCTTTGCCAAGTGTTTAATATAATAATAATCCTTGCATTTGAACAGCACCTTATCACATCCTCAAGATTTCCCAAAGCGCTTCACAGAATATGCTGTAAAGTGTAGTGACTATATATTTCGCGGGTGTTTAATAATCTCAGATGTGTCACTTGGATGTCAAATTCTTCAGTGAGTGGAGCAAGGTAACGAATGGTGCTTCTATGTGGACTACATTCCCGCACACCTCTTTAGACTCCAGGAAGGCAGTGGGTTAAGGTTGGGAGCAGTTGACTTATCCCTCCCTCTCTCTCTCTGTCGGGGAATGGGAAGTGCTGCTTCGCATGTTAGTTGGTTCGAGCTGCAAGGCCTCGCTGGGATTTATCAGCCAACAGCTGATTCTGAACCGGTGTGAAGTGCGGCTCGTGCTGAGGTGCCATTACAGCCAGAAGTACCACCTCTCTCAATCTGAGGCAACGCAGGCTCGTGGGAAAACTGATGCTAAATCATTTGCATTTCGTTTGGGGTCTGAAACTAATAAAAGGGGCAGGGGAAACGAACTACCCCCAAAAAAAGCAAAATAAATAGGAATTTTGCACCATTTGGGGAGGTGCTATATATATATATATATATATATATACTTTAAGAGATTTTTCTTCCGTTGTTGTTTGATCGCTGATGTGATTGAATGTATAGTACGTTGCCAATTTTGTGCGAGCTGCCAGGAATTTATGGTGCGCTCGAGAACTAGATCCACAGGAAGAATTACCTGATGTCAGATAAGGCAGCTTTCAGTGACTGTCGTATCCATGGGGATCTGTAGAGCTTGCACGAACACAGTCCACACAGGGAATCCACAACTGAAGCAACTATCACCCACAGTGTCTGAAGTGATATATTTACATCTGATATCAGTCTGCCACCAGGAGGCTGAACATTAATAGAACTCAGATTGATATTCGTTTAAATAGGAAAGAAGCGGGGCTCTGCATGCTCACTGAGTCAAGGCTACACAGCAGCTCTCCTTTATTTTTGTACAAGTAAATGCCGAACAGCCACAGATGTGTTGGCGGCAAAGCTGAACCAGCTTGGTGCTCCCATTAAAATGAATTGGAAATCGGGAGTTTCGAACATGCCAGGATGCTGGCGCAGACATTACATTACCTCCATGTTTGCAGCAGATTTCAGTCAAAGTGGCCGTTGCTGTTTTTTCCCCCAACGAGATGGCCTTGATCTAAGTTCATTGCCTTTTTTATTTATCATAGAATCATAGAATGTTACGGCACAGAAGGAGGCCATTCAGCCCATTGAGTCTGTGCCGGCTCTTTGACAGAGCAATTGACTTTTATTAACCCCACTCACCAGCTTTCTCCCCATAACCCTGCAAACCTGTCTTCTCCAGATACCTATCCAGTTCTCTCTTAAAAGCTGTTATCGAATCGGACTTCACTGCCCTTTCGGGCAGATCATTCCAAATTTTAACTGTATTTATCCAGTGTGACAAAACAGTGTTCATCCAATGCAATGAATGGGAATGTAGCACTAACATCCTGAGGGCAGGAATTAATAGTGCCTGATCAAGGTTGGAATTTGATGCACAAAAACAGAGATTTGTGAATATATGCTCCCAATTCACTGACTCCCCCTTACTCCCCCTCCAGTGTTTTTTTAAAAAAAATTCAGGTAAATGTTGCGGCAATGTGCCTCTTCCATCTCTGGTATCTCGTTTATAGCTAGGATCTCCCAAGCTGAAAAGCACCATCTATGTGAAAAAATGCTTGTCAAACTTTTTCCTGTTAAAGCACAAGGCTCAATGCCTTAACAGCATTGAAATGTACTGTGAAACCATTTTCCTGTGAAATTACTATGTCTAGAATGAATGCATTTCTTGTGGCTCGACCTACCCAAATAGATGCTACCTCATTGAACAAACCAACAACAACAACATTACAAGTTACACAGTCACCAAACTTTCCAGTAAATCCTGCATAACCCTGAATCATCCTTCCTGTCACGAAGGGCGCAATTTCAAATACAAGGAATATTATTGTTAAAAAAAATCTTGCAGTATCAGAAAACCACCCTATAAGATATTATATTCCGTAAAGTAGTGAAAACTTCAATTAATTTACAATCTGTCCTACAAAAATAAATGTGATTTGAAAAGGATTTTCCATAGGATATTTAATTTCATTATTTATAGAATTGGATGCGAGTTACTCTGCTGTGCGCAATTGGCTATTTGCCCTCAAAATACAGTCGATCCATTTTGCAGTGTATCCTGTGAAGCGAGTTGAGATGTCTCAATGACGTGATAAGGGACTATATCAAATGCAAGGATTATTATTATTAGTCTAGTTGCCAAATGTATATAGGAGTATTATATCCTAATTATGCATAGTATTCATTTCAAAAATAAATAATAATAATTTGGAGCACTCGATCTATGACTGCTTGTCGGACACTGCTGTCCGCAATCGGCTGCCCCGTTCGCTCACAAAACATACTATATGATTATTTCTCAAAGGTGAAATTGTCTTCAAATAAGTACAAAAGAAGAGAAGAATTTTTCTCTCAAAGAGGTGTCATTTGTCGAGTTCGTAATCCTTGTCCAAAGAACCCACTATTAAAGGCTGTACATTTCACCCCCAAGTTCTTTCATCGCCTTACCTTGCTCAGGTACCTGCGAGCCAGTGGAATTAAGAGTTGTATTCAGTACTTCATTGATGGCTGTGTCACAGTACAGGCCTCGGTGCACATCATGTTCGCTGTCAGTTTGGTCACTTTCTTCGTGTCCGCTGTCCTTGAGACTGTTTCTTTCCAGATCCTTGAATGTGGAACTACTGAAGTGTGAAGCAAGACTGATTTATTGTCATGCCAAGCAGTATCAGATAATGTACCCCTTATGGAAAAGAAATGTATTGCAATACATATTGCTTCATATTGAAGTATATCAAAAATATATTGCCATACATTACAACCTGTGTCAAAATGTATCAAAGTCAAGGGGTCATTTTTTTCTCTAAGAGGATTTCTGTTCCTAAGTAAGACAAAGCAAATTTAGTTCTGTTTCTATTCCCTTCTTCTCTTGCTCTGGTAAATGGCTTGTGTTAAAGCTGCCCTATATTTTTTTTCCCGGGGACTCCTAGTCAATTTCAGGTCAATTTCATGTTCTCAGGATTGACTGAGGTGGTGATCTTTTGTGTGTCACTGAACTGATTTGATGGTGAAATCATTGTGGCCAGATTGTTGCCATGGAATTTAAAAAGCCACAAAAAAAACGATTGCGATATAGTGAATCACATTAAAAGGGAGACTATTTTCTTGTATCATCAGATTTAATTAGATATCTATTTTTTTTTAAAAATGTTCTATGTACTTTAAAAGCAAAGAAAGGACAACAAGTTTGGGCAGTTTTCGTAACACAGAACTATGTATTCTATAATGAAATAAAAAAGGTGTTTATTTCGTGTTTTCAAGATGATCTTGAAAATAAGCAGAGGAGAGAGAAAGAGAAAATGTACATCTCTGACATGTGTGCAAACCCAGAAAAAGATGGTATCAGCCCCATCTAAATTAATGATATCTCTCAATCTGTGTGGAATTTTTAAATACCTTCGAGATGCCTCGAAATATGTGACTGTGTAATGTTTTTTCCTTCCTTCACCAGCACTGTCAGCTTCTCAGTGGGAATGTGACCACATCATCACATGCACAAGGCACAGTGAAACCTGCACCATTAGTTTCAGGCCCTGTGACCTACATATATATGTATAATTATATATTTAAAACTCTGTGGTCCATCCCATGCCACAGCTCAATGCTGATTGAGGCATGACGATGTGTCCTCGTCTGCAAGGGGCCACATTCATTGACTTCCTGATAAACCCACCGACTCGACAACCTTATTCCATTTTCTATTCCATGTAATTCAAGATGTAGAGATGAGATTTGCTGCTGCAGCAATGGGATCTTTCAGGATCTGTGTATGTGAGTGAGTGAGTGAGTGATTGTGACTGTGTGTGTAAGTGACGAAATGTAGCTCAGCATTGGGAAGAGATAGCCCCAGGTTTTCCCAGCCCTACCTAACCAACCCATTTCTTTCCCTCAAATTACATCTGCCTGAGAAACGAGAAGGTTAATTATATCTGGCACGAAATTGAGAGAGACTCCCCAGCTGACTAGTGTTGCCATCCTGCTCTCAGTGTTCAGGGAGGATTTTGACACTGAAATAAATAATATAGCTCATTACAGATTTTTTTTAGTTCATTTAGAGAACATTGTGAATTCAGTAATATTCCAGGCGCAGTGCATTTCTCTTCAGCTTTACAGCGCTTCACATTAAAAATTTACGTGGCAATTCTGCAGAGAAACGGTACAGAGTTTAAGCTGTAATTGACATTCAATAGCCCACTGGTTGCTCAAAATTCAGGCAACAAAAAACATCCAACAGCTATAAAACGTTGAAATAGTGCAACTTTTGTTTACCTAAACCAAAACATATTCCAATTTATGACTGGACGTAGAAATATGGATTTCATTATGTTCCATGATATTTTACAGAAAAACCTTTCGCAAAGCCAAAGTATTTTTGCCCCTCTCCCACCCCACTCCACCAGGCCGAATGTTTTAAATAAGTTAATGCATTATGTGGGGTTCTGAACCAGGTTCTAGTTGTGCAATGTTACTCAACCTTTTGTTTTCGCTCTTCCAACTCTGGTTTAATGCTCATTCCTCATGCCTTTCCACTCCGCTGAGCTTTCTCCTCTGGATTACTGTTCCCGAAACGACTTTGCTTTTGTAACTCACTTCCTGCCTTGGAAAAACCTCTGAAAAGTATATCTCTTTGACCGCAACTCTTTAAATCTCATTTCCCTGCTCAGTGTCCGCCGCTGTGTTTGTTGAGCGCTTTGCATTGTATGTAAAGGTCCCCTGTGTAAATGCAAATGTCCTTGTTGTTGAGTTAGATGATATGAGCTGGAAGGTGATGAGAATGTTACTATCGTCATTAACATCCCAGAGTGGGAAACTTGGAAAATGCTGCTAACTGGAATTGGTCTCCACTGATCCTCTGTGGGAAGCATTGTTGAGTGTGAGTGTTGGGTGAGTGGGGGGGGGGATTCTTCCTGGCATGTTGTGGCTCCATATCCTGTAGATATGCAGTTATGACCAGCGCTTAAGGTACTGCAGTGTTGCTGCCTCCTGTAAAACCCTACTATTAAATGAGTCACTGCCATCTCAATGAGTGGAAAAGGTGACAAAATCAGAGTGCTGAGTGTAGATGGAAAGGTGATGGTTGGGGGGAGGGGGGGGGGGGCTGGGAGGGGAAAAAAAGGCCTTTGAGAGATCAAAGAATCCTCTCCAATTGTTGAATATAAAAATGTTTTTTCCTAGGTAACTAATACAGATCTCTGCAACTGGTCCTTGACAAATTTGCATTTTGTAATGAAACTACTCTGCAAACCATTTCCCCAAAGGATGAAGGACATGGGGTGAAGCCGTCTAGTTTATTTCTGTGAAATGCCATTCTGTTCGAGGTAGCAGAGCAGTTTTGTGCATGTGTGTGTGTATATATATACACACACATATATAAAAACATTTAAAATCTGCAGCTCCTTAGAATCGTGGCCTAGCTCTCCCCATCTCTGCAGAATACAGGTATTTATTATTTATGGCTTTTTCTATGTAGGGTACATAAACACGAAGAAAGAGTGAAAACATAACCTCTACAGGTTGTTTATCTCTCTACCTTTTTAATTATTGATAAAAATGAAGAAGATTCTTATGGTCCAGTAGGGTGGATGGGCTGTGTGTGTGTTCATGTGAGCCGATACCCCAGAAACCAGTTGAAGGTTGCTCTGTCCCTCAATTGTTCTTTGACAAATGTGTCTAAATGGAAGACTATGGTGTTCTGTAGGTGTGAGTTTGCTCTAGTTCTGACTTGGTGGGGAAGGCAGTTTTCTTTGTATTTTCATGCCAGTGGGTAGGTTTATTTTACCCCCCCCCCCCCCCCCCCCTCGCTCCTCCATTGAAATGTCGTTCCCCTCCCCTCTCCCCCCTGCTCCACCTCTCATGAGCTCTCGGAAAGAAATCTGCTCTGAGCTATTGTGTTCACTTCTATCAAAGCTGTGGTGAGACTTCAAATTCTTCCCTTTGTGAAGCCCATTAATACCAGGTCTTGACCTGGAGTTAAGCATTCATTTTTTCATGCCTCTTCTCAGCTGCACATTTTCTCTTTAATACCGCCTTTTATTATGGTGAGTGTGGGGTGAGGAATGACATTCCGCTGTTCAGGTAAAGTTACTGATCTTGCCGTTCAATTCTGATAATAGCGAAATGCACATGGCCCAAGGCTAGTAACTTTACCGACCAGTGGAAATGCCAATCTTCTTAAATTCCTAGCAAACTACAACAAGCCTTTTCTTCTCCCTTTCTATTCTATCATTTGAGCTCCGGTGTCTGAGGGGCACAGAGGAATGCAGAGAGCAGACATTTCACGCAGTGGAGCTCCCATTTATGCATGTCTACGTCTAGAGAATCTTTTCAAGCCACAAATTTATCCACTGATTGCATTCTCTCATGTTCAGTCGCCATTGCTCATTCTAAATATCCCACCACTTCGGCTGAGCTTTTAACTACATCGCCTCTTTGTCTTCTGCAACTCTCTTCCTAAATCTATTCTCTTTAAGCTTCCTCTTTCCCTGCCTTCCAAAGACTCCTTATAAAAAGTTTATTTTTTTAATTGGGCCTTTTGATCAACACCCTTAACTCTCTCGTCCAGGTGTTGATTGTTAAGTGCTTGAATTCTGCATGACAGAAATGCCATGTAACTGCAAGTTGTAGCCGCTGAAGTTTGGCAAGAGATATTGGGAGCTTTTCTAATTTGTATCCTTCCAGTTGTACAACCTCACTTTCCTGCTGCTCATTACTGTTGTATTTAAAATGCCTTTCCTGAGACAGTGTTCTGTTGGTGGCCGTCACTGGGATTGACAGGCTGAGCAGATCCGAGTCTCTTCTTCCCAAAGCCTCCGTAATGTACGCTTCTCGGTGGTTTAAACTGTGACTTGAGATGAGATTGCTCTACTCCAAACAGTCTCGTGCAATGTTTCCCAGCAGAATATTGTTTTTTTTTAAAAAAAGAGCCTGATCCAAGAGAATTTTGCGATCAAATTATACGATGTCAGGTAAATGGATTACAACAGGTTTCTAACAATAATGAGAAAAGGGCACCAAAGCAGACGGCATTCATTATCTGAATGCATTCACACTGTTTAATGTAAAAACCATCATGACTTACCTTTTAATAAGGTGCTGTCTGCTGTTCACATAGCTTGACTCGATGGAGTAATTCTCCGACTAAAGAGAAAAGATAAAAAACACGGATGTTTAAAATAAAGATCACAGCATCTTGCAATCACACAGCAAGACTCTATTCTGCAGTAGAACATGGATTCCTTCAGCATCTACAAAACAGTCTATTTTTTGTCTGCTGTTGCAGACTTGATAGATAAAAGCCTTCTTGAACTAATCAGCTCATCTTCAGTCAAATGCCATTGAATTATCACCTTTTTCCAGATAAGCTTTGTGCCTAAGGTTGCCTGCTAACATCTGCAAAAATTACTCGTTCCTGTCTTTCACTGACAAAAACTTCCACAGCAGATTAACAAGCTTTGCGAATGAGGTGCAGTGCTCCCCATTTTGAGATCCAAACTGTTTCTCTTCAATATTTATTTTAACAGGATGTTAACGAAACATCTGTGACAACAGGCGAAAGTGATACAGTGGAGAAACAGTGACAATTCATCTCCACAGATAAATTGGTAGGTGTTTTGAGACAGTTTCTGTGAGCAACCCAGGACTGTGGACACCTTGACATCTGCTGGCTCAGTGGGTTTCCTGTTCTGTAGTGAATTAACTGAACTCGAGAAGGTTGTTTCTCCCCAGGTCCCCGGCCAACAATGTCCCAGATAAAACTGATCATTCACTTTGTGGCCGTTTATGAGACATTGCGGGGCGCAAATTGGCTGACCGGTTCGCCTACAAAACGTACAGTCAGTACACTTGATAGATCATCCTGATGTGAAAGATGGCACTTCAAATGCAAGGATTATTATTATTTTCCAATTACTGTAAAGTGCTTTTGAGACATTTTGATGTAAAAGGTGCTACAGAAATTCAATTTTTTTTTCAGTGAGTATTTGAAAACCATTTAACCACAGCCCCATCCAGCTCACCTGCCATTTCCCATTTTCTTAAGATTAAGACCACAGTTTTAGAATTGCTTATTAACAATAATAATCCTTGGATTTGATATAGAGCCTTTAATGCTGGCAAGACACCCGAATGCCGTCACAGGATATACTGAAATGTGTGGTGGCTGTGCATTGTGTAGACAATAAGTGCTCTGAAACGCGTCCGGCGTGGAAGGCGCTATATAAATCCAAGTTGTTGTTGTTGTTGTTGTTGTAGACTAACTAAGGCACAATCTTCAATTTTAAGGCAATACCCACAAGAAAAAATAGGTTTCAAAGATGTCTGCATCCATGCATGTTCCAGTAGAGGTCACTGGATACTGATTTGGAGCAGAAAGTTATGATCTTCAACACCACTTACTTCCTGCAATAAATGATTACACTGCCTCTTAATAGACAATCCTATCTGTCACTTGGCCCTCCTTCTCTAACACTCGTCTTACAGCTCAGAAAATCTAACCTTTTCTCCCCTTCATTACTGCTCCAGTCTGCCAACTCTTGCTTCCTATGTCTGTGATATCAGCTCCCTCCACTCCTTTAACTCCTTAAGTATCTCAGTATTCATCCTATTTCACACATTGTCCCATTTGTACACTAGTCTTTCCTCCCCTCTATAATTATCCTGTGCTTTACTCTGAATCTCTTTGCTTTCTTTATGTTCTGCAAGTTCCGTCCAAAGGTAACCTTGCAACCAAAAATCCCACCTCTGAACTCTCTCCTTTCAGAAAATTGACCCTGAAGCAACCTGTGCTATAACCTCACGTGTAATACTAGTGAGAACCAACTTCTGGTTTCCTTCCATGAAATAAGATCTTCAAAAACGAAGCACCTCAATGAAGTGCCTTACAATTCCGAACAAAGCAATCACATCATGATTTCTGCGGTAAATTCTAACTGTGGTCTACAATGGAGAAATTATTGCTGTACGCACCAATGGTGCTACAGATGTTGCCTTAAAGGATTAGGGCTGACCAGTGCTGGTTAAAATGAGCTGAAGGAAAATATTGCACACAAAAGGTTGCTTTCACAACCCAACCACAGTATATTACATTTCCTACACAGCTGTCTCTTAAATTGTACCTCAATTGACTAATAATTTAGTAGTGATAGAACAATATGAAACTGTCATAACTATGAGCACAACATAAAGACTAAACAGCCCTATTTATGCTAAGCAAGACAGCAATGAACAAGTAGCCCTTCAATCCTCTTCAAGCCTGTCCCCTCCAAGCATCGTAATAGCAGATATGGGTGTGTTTGTGTGTGGGAGATTGTGGGGCAGTCTGGATAGAGTAGGTTAGGGAGGGAGGGCAGAAGGATAAATAAGAGCAAAGCATCTGCATTGATATCGTAAAAGTAATGAAATGTGAACCATTGAGGGAGTCAAATCTATGCAGGCCTGTCTAATGTACTCAGAAAATAATGCTTTAACAGTGCTGATTACAAGTGATCTTTACAGAAATAATGTCACATTTAGCACAATATCAGCCTCACAAGGTGCAGTGTGTTACTCTGTCATAGCCAAGGGAGACTGCGCTGTGAACAGCTCAGCTATTGCCTTCCCATAGTAATTACTGTCGTGAAACCGCACTTGAGATTCACTGCGGGTCTCTGCAGTTCCTCACTTTATAATCCAACATTGTGAACTGGAGCATTTAGCCTGTGAAACTACACGCAGAACAGAATACAGTTTTGAAATGGCACGGATTAAAGACCGTGTATTTTAAATACAATTAGGATTTTAAAAAGAATAACGTGACAAGTCACACGCAAGGACAAATGGAAAAGGGGTTGGGGAGGAGAAGGAGAGAGATGTTTGAGTAATTCTGGGAGCTCTTCTCTGCAGGTTTATAGTGGTGACTGCAATACTGATGTTTAAATAAAGTCCAGCTGAGCGGCGCTTTTGCAATTGGTCTCTAATCGTACTCTGAATTTGTGTGCAATGGCAGGTGCTCCAACTCATAAATGTGCATTTTGAAATCGGAATGGTGACATTTCTAAGCACCATGAATGGTGTCGGGGAAACTGCTTCTGGTAACTAGGAATACATATGTTGAACTGGGGATCTCCAGCCCACTGCTGCCTACTCTCAGAGCGGAGTTCCCCTTGGGTTCAGTGGGATTTCTAACTGGAATTCCTTCATAAGAAAACCTTGCATTTGATTTAGCATCTTATCACATTGTCAAGACGTCTCAAAGCGCCTCAGAGGATACACTGTAAAGTGGACTGAATGTATATTTTATGGGCAGACAGTTTGCGCATGGCGATGCCCCACAAATAGCCATGGAGAGTGACCAATTTTTTATTTGGGAGATTTGATGGCCAGGAAACGGGTAGAAACTTCCTTCTCTTTTTAAATAGCGCCATGGGATCTTCAACGTCCACCTGAGCAGGCAGAGCACACACACACATACACAGACAGTTTAACGTCTTATCTGAAGGATGGCACCTCTGACAATGCAACCCCTCTCCCCACCATTGCATCGTAGTGTCAGCTCACTGTCACCGATTAGTTAGGCTGAATGGGCTGCAGTTATATGTAACAGTGTAGAAACTCTGTCTTTTATACACCAGCGTCTCAGGTGTGTGCATGAGTATTCATTTGTACGTGTCCCAGCATTGCAGTTGCAGTTGAAAGTGGTTGTTTCTCTAGGGAAATGTGCTCCCCAACCAGTGAGCAAGTCTGCAGGTTTCAGCCATTTTTGTTGTCGTTGTCGGTAATAAGTTAACAATCAGAATGCACAAGAGAGGTTATTAATATTTGGAAATGGTACTTGTCACACTCCCTAACACATAACATATGGTAGGTTCCAAACCTGAATAAATTATTTAAAAACACAGGGCAGGGAGCAAGTGACTTCCTTTTGTCTTGTGAGCAGCCGGTTCTACAGGTCAGTTTGTATCCAGAAATAACTTCCCAGGTGGACTCCATTGTTGGGAACAGCAAGCTTCCCAGCAGCAGCAAAGCCAGGCCTTAACAATTAGGAGAGACCCAGCAAATCTACAGAAGCTTTACTGAGATTGAGAGAGATGTGTTGGGACGAGTCTTTAATGTCCAATTACATTTTAAGGCTGCTTTAATGCAATATTAATGCAATGCAATAGTACGCAATTCAGAGGGTTGTGAGCACGTACAAGGATTAGATTTACTGGATACATTTATTGTTGCCAAACATTATTTCAGACTTTGAGATTATGTTCTATTTTGGGAGGCTGTATGTGGAAGACATATCTGGGATGAAATATGTGTATCGTCCCTGTAAGGGAAACAAGAGATGCTCATGATCTTTAAAAGGTGCACGACAGCTATTACATCAAAAGATGCCACATGTGGGCAGTTAAGGTAGCTACGAATCTCACTTTCTGTAATTTGCTAAGCTTAATATTATAGAATGAATGAACGAAATGTAAAACTACTTAACTCACAGCAATTCCCTTTCTACCTTTGAATGCCCCAGATTTAAGGCTGGATCAATAGAATCATTCAAAAGGAACTGGATTAATATAAATAATAATAATCCCCGCATTTGATATTGCGCTTTTCGGGTCAGGGGGACGTCTCAAAGCACTTTACAGGATTTTACTGTAAAGTGTATTTGACTGATTCCGTATTTTGTAGGTGAATGCAGTAGCCAATTCATGCACAGCAATGTTCCCAAAAAAGCCATGAAGTGAATGACCAATGTTATCTGGAGGGCTGGTGGCTGGGAGACCAGGAGAAACTCTATTCTTAATTTTTTTTAAAAAAAAGGAATTAAATGATACAGGTAGCAATGACGCAGACTCGATGGCCAAATGGCCACCTTCTGTGCAACAAACGTCTGTTTCCATCTTGTCACAGTTGTGGTACTATCAGAGTGTACAAATTGGCAAAGGATCAAAACAGAGGGCATAGAGAAAGGCCACATTCACACTGAATCTTAACTCGAGAGGTGCGAGTGTATTTTTAATACAAGAATGATTACGTACATTCTTTTTAGAATAAGTGTGTGCTTAAGGCACACTGTGATCACACTTGTGTGATGCCTTTTTTTCCACCAGACTGTTTCAAACTGTCGAGAGCTCCCCATGTGGCCAGGAATCTCTCACAGCTGCAATTTCTCC